GAAATCAATGTCTGCTTGTCTCAAGTTTGAACCAGAATTATTTATGTGGCAAAATACAAGCATAGGTTTCACGGTGGAGAGGTAAATTTTTTTTTTAAATACTCTTACATATATACAGATCAACATTATAATTTTGTAACTGCCTACATTTAAGCCTAATCATGTCAGTCAGGAAAAAGCTTAATTTTTAAGTCTTGATAAAATAGCATTAATTAAGATGACTTGCAACCTTTATTTAAATTAAATCAACTGAATCTACCTTTTGAAAACAGAAATAGCCGGGCTCGGTGGTTCAGCCTGTAATCCCACACTTTGGGAGGCTGACGTGAGTGGACTGCCTGAGACCGCAGGTTCGCGACCCACCTGGGCAACTTGGCAAGACCTCATCTCTACAATAAATAAAAAATTAGCCGGGCATGGTAGCGTGCGCCTGTAGTTCCAGCTACTTGGAAGGCTGAGGCGGAAGGATTGCTGGAGCCCAGCAGGTCAAGGCTGCGGTGGCCAGGAGCAGCCACTGCACTCCAGTCTGGGCGACAGAGTGAGACTCCAACTCAAAAAAAGAAAAAAGAAAAAAAATACAACCTGACCCGTACCCTCTTTTCATACAGATACACACACACACACACACACACACACACACACACACACACACACACACACACACACACTCTAGTTAGACTGTAGTTCCAAATGCAAAACATAATACTGGAACTATCTTCGAATTTGCTGTAACTATTTCTAAAACAGGAAACAAAAAGCAGTAACCTAAATTAAAAATTACTCATCAAAAACACCACTAAAAGAATGAAAAGGCCAACTACAAACTAGAGAATATTTAAAATTGATAAAGAACAGCTCCTTGTCGGGCTCAGTGGCTCAGCCTGTAATCCCGCGCCTTTGGGAAGCTGAGGTGAGTGGATTGCCTGAGCCCCCGGTTCAAGACCCGCCAAGGCAACTTGGTGAGACCTCATCTCTACAATAAATCAAAGAAAAAAAAAATTAGCCGGGCGTGGTAACGCGCGCCTGTAGTTCCAGCTACTTGGAAGGCTGAGGCGGAAGGATCGCCGGAGCCCAGCAGGTCGAGGCTGCAGTGGCGGGCAGTCTGGGCGACAGAGTGAGACTCCAATTCAAAAAAAAAAAGAACAGCTCCCATAAATCACTAAGAAACAGGCAGGCAAACCAGCAGATAATTAGACAAGAAATAATCAGTCACTACACAAAAAAGTAGACCAATAAATGGTCATTCAAATGACCAATAAATGTGTAAAACATGCTCAATTTCATTTGGAATCTGGGAAGTGCAGATTAAAACTCCAAAGAGTTGCACTACACCCACCAACCAAAATATCTAAAATTTAAAAGACTAACAATATCAAGCATTAGAAAGGAATGTGGAGCAACAGGAATATAAAATGCTGATGAGAATTTAAATTGGTATAATCACTTTAACAGCATCTACTAAAGCTGAACATGTGATCTAGCATCATACCAAAAGACACGAACAATAGTTACAGCAAATCTAAACCCCCAAAATGCCAAATACCTATCAATACCAAATACCCACCATATATAAATGATGTCAAATTCATGCAATGCAACACTACAGAGTAATGAAATGTACGGTCTGTAGTTCCAGCTACTTGGAAGGCTGAGGAGGAAGGATCACCTGAGCCCAGCAGGTTGAGCCGTGAGCACGCCACTGCACTCCAGCCTGGGCAACTCAAAAAAAAAAAAAAAAAAAATAGTTCAAATGCATGCCGGGTGTACTGGCTCACACCTGTAATCCCAGCACTTTGAGAAGCCGAGGTAGGAGGACTGTTTAAGCCCAGGATTTTGCAACCAGGGGCAACATAGTGAGACCTTGTCTCTACAAAAAATTAAAAAAATCAGCTACTTGGGAAGATGAAGCAGAAGGCTCACCTGAACCCAGAAGGTCAAGGCTGCGGTGAGCATGCCACTGCACTCCAGCCTGGGTGACAATGAGACCTCGCCTCAAAAAAAAAAAAAAAGTTCAAATGCAAGCAAAACCTAATTATAGTGACAGAAACCAGGACAGTAGTTACATTTGGAGGGTGTGGAAAGGGGTAATGAACAGAAAGGATCATAAGTAGAGTTGCCACATAAAAGCCAAAATGCAATGGCCAGGCGAGGTGGCTCAAGCCTGTAATCCCAGCACTTTGAGAGGCCAAGCAAGAGGATTGCCTGAGCTCAGGGGTTCGAGACCAGCCTGGGCAACTTGGCTAGCTCTCGTCTCTACAATAAATCAAAAAATAAGCTGTACATGGTAGTACAAGTCTGTAGTTCTAGCTACTTGGAAGACTGAAGCAGAAGGATTGCCTGAGCCCAGCAGGTCCAGGCTGCAGTAGCCGTGAGCATACCACTGCACTCCAGCCTGGGCCACAGAGTGAGACTGACTCAAAAAAAAAAAAAGCCAAAATGCTCTGTTAAATCTGAACTTCAGATAAACTAGTAATCCTTTAGCATAAATAGGTTCCATGCAATATCAGTGGCATGTATTTTTATTTGCTAAATCTGGCAACCTTAGTCGATGGGGGTGCTTTTGGCGTACTGGTCATATTCTGTGTCTTGATGCTCATTTTGTGATCATCCATTGTGCATTTTTCTGTACATATATTGTACTTCACAATAAAAAATGTTTTGAAAAATCAAAGTACACTCAGTACAACCTTGCAGATTTTAAAATATCTCATCCAATCACTGTTTTTTCCTTCCCACCCTTAATCACTGCATGTGAGAGCTATGATACTTCTGCAGAAGATGGGCATCAGTAATCAGAAGCATTGCTGGGCAAGCCAGGCACGGTGGCTCATCCTGTAATTCCAGCAAATTGGGAGGTGGAGGCAAGAGGGTTGCCTGAGTCCAGAGGTTCGAGACCAGCCTGAGCAACTTGGCAAGCCCTCATCTCTACAATAAACAAACAAAAAAAAATTAGCCAGGCATGGTGGCACACACTTGTGGCTCCAGCTACTTGGAAGGCTGATGCAGAAGGATCGCCTGAGCCCAGCAGGTCGAGGCTGCAGTGGATCCTGGGTGACAGTGAGAATCCAACTAAAAAAAAAAAGTGTTGCTGGGCAAAAAGCTGTCAGCTCTACTTCCATTTTTTATTAAAGTTATTTTCATACAGCATAGTTATTTACTTCTGAAACCTGTTTTCATGCCCGTCTCTCAGGGGCCTTTCTTACATGTGTGACTGGCTTAATCTTACCAAATAGCAATGCTATGCTGGAAGCCCACCCTTTACTCATCTACCAAAAAATGCACAAACCAGCATTCACTGTTGGACTGGCCAGCCAACATGCAGGGGTTAGAATCCAGTGGCCTGTAGCTACAAATAAAATTGGTACTTTAAGGCCAACAATTGGATACAAACACTGTTCAGACTCCATAAAGTCAAATACTTCAATCTGCAGTCTGCTTTTCTAAATTTATCACAGGTTTACACAATTGCCTTAAGTGGCTCCATCTAATTCCCTCTCGTTGATGTTTTCGGAAAAAATTACCTTCTCCTGCACATAGAACCGGCAACCCCAAGGAAATAGTAACCAGTGCAAACAAAAGTCTGACTCACTTACCTGCTGTTGTTTAAATAAGGTGCTTATTTATTGGCAAAAGTTCTTTAATACTCAGGGTTTTTTGTGGTGTTGTGCTGTTTTGTGTTTCATCTTGTCTTGAAATGAACCCTTCCCAATTCTAAATAAAGAAAAAAAAATCCACCAAGTTTGGAGTTTGCCAGGTGTGGTGGCTCACACCTATAATCCCAAGGCTTTGGGAGGCCTCAGTGGGAGGAAAGCTTGAGGCCAGGAATTTGAGGCTGCAGTGAGCTAAGATTGTGCCACTGCACTCCAGCTTGGGGCAACAGAACAAGACCCTCTCTAAACCAACACACAAGCCAGCCTGGGCAACACAGTGAACCTCCCACAAAAAATAAAAAATAAAAATTAGCCAGGAGTGGTGGTGCACACCTGTCGTCACAGCTACCCAGGAGGCTGAGGTGGGAGGACCACTTGAGCCCAAGAGTTCGAATTCGCACTATGATCACGCCACTGCACTCCATCCTGGGCAGAGTGAGACCCTGTCTACAAAATGAAAATAAACAAAATAAAGTTTGGGGCTAAACTTTACAGGCTGATAGAATCCTTACACATCTGCCACCTACCCCCTTGAGAGTTCCAGATTTCTTCGATTTGATAACAGAAACTCTTTTTCACACAAGGTATTGAGAATGATAAGGTTTCTGGGCTGTGGAGCCAGGTTGCTTGAAAGAAAGAAACTCAGCCGGGCTCGGTGGCTCAGCCTGTAATCCCGCGCCTTTGGGAGGCTGAG